CCTTGATTTAAAAATAAAAACCCTACCAAAATCTACTTATACTCTTTTATTATTAAAACTACCACTAAACCCTAACCTAACCCTAAAAAAAACCCCTAACAAAAGGCCCAAAAAATTTTTGAAAATTTCATATTAAAATAAATAAAATTTCCAGCATCAGCCGCGACAATAAATAAAAGAAAAGGAAAATTACATTGAAATATATTCTAAGTAATGATTTATTTTTAATAATATTATGAAAATTTTATAATGGCATATTTTTTAAGTGAAATATATATTTAACAATTAATTGGTTTACTATTCAAAAAAACAAAAATAACTGTTTTTTCGCATCATAATATACATATATATCCAACTTATTCTATATGAACTGTTGGTTTTGACTAGTATTAAAAAAAAGCTCGTTATATAAAATTACATACTACTATATTGCATGTTTCTTAAGGAACCATAACTCTCAAAATAATATGAAATTTAAAAAAATATAAAAAAAATTACAAACGGATGAAAAAAAATGAGATAACGATTGATTTTTGATCCGAACTTACCGGTAACCGGCAAATCTGCCCGGCTACGGGGTCAGTATTAAGTCACGTGATCGTTTGTTAAGGACAGTTAGGCAAATGCTAATTTTTCAGAAATTTGGGCAAAATTGTCTCGATGACTACCCAATTAAATTTAATGTTTTTTTTTTTTATTTTGATTTTATAGGTTTGCAAATTCAAAATAATAAAAAAAAATCATAGGTGGTTGTTGAGATATCATCGCTTAAAGTTTATAGAAATTTTGCCGCAGCCGCTATTTTGATTGACGTTTTATATGTTTTCAAACTTTGTGCGAAGATATCTCGATAACTAACTAACCAAATCCTGCAAAACTTTATATTTTGATTCTACGGATATATAGAATAAAAATAAAAAATATTTATTGAATTTATTTTGGTGGCTGTAGAGATATCTTCACTACTGCAATTGTTATTCGATGGTGTTTCAAACTTTGTGCGAAGATATCTCAGCAACTAAACAACTAAATTCGATTAATTTTTTTTTTCTTTTTTCTACAGATTTGCAGAATCAAAATAAAAAAATTTTATCCTCACACAAATTTATAAAAACTTCGCCGCAATCGTTATTTTGATAGTGTTTTAAAGTTTCAAGATATCTTAGTTAGTGACGTGCCATTTATATGATACAGTACCTGAAAATTTTTAGCGTACAGTACGTACTGTAGTATAGTTCTTTTCTGGCATATGGTTGGCTGGCAAAAATTTTTGCGTAATCACTAATCTTAGTAACTACTCAACTAGATTTGACATTTTTTTTTTTGCATTGACTCAACAAATCTATATAATCAAAATAAAAAAATTTATTGAATTTAATTAGGTAGTTGCCAAGATATTTTCACTCAAAGGTTACAAAAATTTTGCCGCAGCCATTATCTTGGCGTTTTTAGATGTTTTTCAATTTTTGAGCAAAGATCACGGCAACTTCCCAACTAAATTCAATGAATTTTTTTTTTATTATTCTGATTCTACAAAGCTATATTATTAATTTTAAAAAAAATTTATCAAATTTATTTAGGAAGTATCGAGATATCTTTGCTCAAAGTCATGAAAATTTTAAATTTTTAGACCACGTGACTTTACGCTGTCCCTAAGAACTGCCCATAGATTTTCCGCGCATAGGCGTTTTTGTTTGAGGAAACTACTAAACAAAGCAAAACAAATAATAATAACAATACTCGTATAATGACATTTGCCAAGAAAAAAGTTATTCATGCAACATACATTTTTTAAAGAAATAAAGTTAATCTTATAAAACAAATGTTATATCGCATAATGAATCTTTTTTTTTAAAACATTTGTTCTTGTTCTTCGAATAGATGATATCTTCTTTTTTTTAAAAAAACGCATTTTAGCAAATTATGATTTTTTAAAAGCATTGTTCACGAAAATGTTTTTAAAGAATTCATTTATGCGAATGCGTATTTACAAAAATTTACCGGATAAATATTTTACCGAAGTTTTTTAAATAGTGCTGCGAGTGACGTTTTTATTTGCAAATGATTTTATAAAAAAAAATAAATGGATGTTGACAAAGGAAGATAAAGTTTCAGGGGTTTCCCTTTGCGTCACGCAAACTATGTAGTCATGTTATACGTATGAACGATGTTTTTAAATGTTCATTATGAAATGTAGAAATTGCATATTATTGAGGTCTGGAATAATTGTTTCTCTTAATATTGATTACAAATTCAAGCTCATTTTTCTCGCCTTATAATCAATAAAACTGCACGTAAAGTAAATCGTACGTACGTACGTATGATAATTAGGGTTAGGATTAATATTGAGGCCACATATAGTGATCGTTTTACGTTACATCTGAACTTGAAGTGTGATTGGTCAAAATTACGTGAGAACAATTTTTGTAACACGGTGTACAACCAGTTAACAATGTAAAACAAAAGCCATACGTAGAACTTAAATTTTTACTAATGCTAAGATAAGCTAATTGTAATTTTTGATTGAACTGAATCGATTCCACGTCAACGTAGAAGAAATTTGCGTTTTATGGAAAAAAGGCGGATTACTAATCAAGAATTAGTCACAAGTTCATACACTTTTGTGTTCAAACGTTTGAAAGTTTTTTTTTCATCTATTATTTCATACATTTCTGTATTTTTCTATTAGAAGCATCTATAACGAAAAGATATCGATATTGTTATTGTTACATTAATGATCAGACTAACGATTTTCATTTCTTTTCTTTTTAGCTTAAAATAACTTCATTGTCTGTATAAATAATTGTGTAACAAATGGTTCAGGAAAGTATTTGTATGTATACGCACGCGTGCGCTCTTATCGGATAATATCAAAAGAGACAATAAAAACAAAAGTGGATGTTTTGTGTTTACGTTAAGGCGTCAAGACTAGAAATGAAATAGGAAATACATTGCATTAATGCGCACAATTGAATTCGTATTCATCGATTTTTATATATCCATTTTTTCATTCTCATTATATAATAATAAAATGAATAAAATAACTCATCCAAGAGAGCCGGTAAAATTATCAACCTTCCTTGTCATTATAAATATTGTATTTTTAAGTTTATTAAATATCATGTTATTCATTAAATCATTTAATTTTGCATGTCATTGGATAGTTTAAAGCAATATCGTTATTAAGGTTAATGATCGAATTACAATAAATACTTGGCATATCTTTTTTTTTTTTTTTTGGTGAATCATTTATGCAGATTTTCAGTCAGATGATTTAATAGGAATCGATGGTGTAGTGCGAAGCTAAATATAAATTCAATGTTTACAAGTCTTATTCTTGCTTAAATAAACTGTTGATAGGTGATTCTCACGATTACTTATGGAATTTGACCCTGAGTAAACAAAAGTTTCGACCTACCCAATCGATCCAACCACCAAATGAACCGTGGTGATGAGAAACATAAATTTAGCCATATATTTCATTTAATGCTAGCCATATTTGTGCATTGTTAAGTTTAACTTAAACCATATTTATATAATAATTATCACATGAATTTTTACCATTGATAGAGCATGTGTTACTAATAATTCATACTTTACTAAAAAAGCTTTAAAAGGTATTAAATGCATAAATAATAACGATAACGACGGCTTACAAACGTACTATTTAAAAGCAATTCGTTATCGTTATCAGTTTTTTTTTTTTAAAGGAATGTTAAACGTATAATAATAGTGTTTAACCTCCAGAATATATATTATCCCAATTTTCGTTTTATGTTGATATGAAAATTTTGTAATGGCTGGATACCTTTTGGATTATTTACAAACGCCTGCTCCTCAGTATGTTATAGGTTGTCTACCTGTTATAATAACGATAGGGGTAGCTCCAGATAACGGTTGTGTGAGGAGGTTACTATGGATACTGCGATGTCTCGGTTGTCCATTCACAGGAATATTTTATCATTGCAATATAATGAATGATGAAACGTTAATGTGTGTCTACTGGCTTTCATCAGGCCATTTTATTGAAGAAAACGGTGATAGATCTTCTCGCAGGCCTGTTGGTCATCATTCAATGCTAATTGTACTCTCTCCGAAGCAAATTGAATATGTAAATGAATGTATATCAGAAGCTTCTATACTTGATAGATTTTCTTCAATATTATCTGCTTACTACATCATTGTTGGCATATTTGTAGCAATGTATAGAATGTTGGGCACGTGTACTCCCCAAGATTGGCCATATTTCCCTTTATCATTGAGTTGGACATTACCAGCAATTTATAAAAGGGTATATGGTGGGAAAATAATAGCTAATGATCCGAGAAAAATTTTTTTAAGTACCGATAACAACGATAGTAACAATATTATCGATAAAATACATTTAAAAAAATATAGTATAAGTGATAAAAAACGTTTAGATACCTATGTTATAATCACCGCCTTGTTTACTATAATAATCCCTTGGACAACTGTAATATTGGCTTATTTTACTCCGCCAAAGGGTTTTGGTTGCCGTAGCAAGTATCTTACAGTAGTGTGCACAATATGGTCGTTTAACAGTATTTTGGCGTATTTCTATCACAAGTTTAAAGGTGAAAAAGACGTTAACGGAGATATAAAAATTCACAGCTGGTTTTGTTTTTGTGGTGTTTTGATTGCAATTCTTTTAATTCTACTCGCTTTACTATCTCACACGACATCATGGTGGGTAACAGCATTCGGAGAGGCTTGTGATATCTCTAATGTTTGCAACAAACCAGGAGGTAATTCATTACCTATCTGAATGATTAATTTCCTAAGTATAATACATACGTACGAACATTAACTGTAATAGTCATTTAATTATTGTTTCATTTTAAATTTTTTTTTTTTTTATAAATTATTCAAATTTAATGAGCAAATATTTATTACGTTATTACGAAAGAGTGTTCAATAGAATTAAGTTGTTAACTAAACAGATTAATTAAAGGTTGTATATTTATCTATTTACCTATATTTATAAAGTTCTATATATATATATTTATCATGGGATTAGGGTTAGCGCTTGGTTTAACTTGATTTGAGTTCGGTTCAAAAGTTATAAACATGTTTGAAAGTTTAGCCCAATAACATTCATAAACTTTGAAGTAAAAATTTGATTATAAAATAAACATAATTTTTATAATAATTCCTATAAAAAATTCTTAAAGACTATTGTAATGATACTAGTGATTATGTTAGTTTTGTATTGGGATTTCTATACTGATTTACTAAAAAAAATTTGTAATTATACTTACCGTAGTGCACTGACCAAAAGACCCGGGGTCTAATACAAAATACCCAACAAAAAACTTACAAAAGACCCGGGTATATTATACAGCAGCGGGCCAGTGCCGCAAGAAAAAAAAATTTCAAGCATATACATATTCTGCACTTACAATAAGCAGTCTAAAAAAACTATATTTAATTAATAGAGGTCTCGTGTTTTGCACCGGGTACTTTGCAAGGGGGATATTGAAAAAGGGGGATACTTTGGTCAGTGCACTACGGTATTTGCTACAATGATACAAACAATTTGGATATAGTTATATTAGATTTTGTATTGGAATGAACATGTTTTTAGAGTCAGAGATAGTTTATTTGCTAATAATATACAATTTACAGTATGCTATCAAGACCAACAATTTTCATGATATACCAATATTAGACATTGCTTTCAAATAATGTTGATTAAAACTAAACATAAGTTTGGTTAAAATATAATATTATTATGAAATATAATTTTAATTTTATTTTTTTTTTAATATTGGAGTGTAGCACCTGCTCCAGACTTTTATTAATACTTAAGTAAGTTGACATATAGTAATGCTAAAATACATACATATTATATATCAGAACTAGAACTAGGACTTTAAGTCTAAGACTATTTATCCATAGCTAAAACCTACTAAAGCCATTAACACTTCTGCATATGTGATTAACCTAAATTTATATATCCCTTTTCAGCTGCTATTAATATTTACATGTTTGACACTTTATCCACATTATCTAATATTTTAACTTCCAAATTGGTGTGTTCCAGGTAGGTGCTTATTGCTCCTAGTTTAGTGTGCCTAGTTTCAACTAGTATACTTCTAGAAGTTTGTATATCAAGCCATACAGCTGTCTCTACTTGATTAGATAAGTATCTCAAGCCTGCATGCTGCTATAACTAGCTGATTTTTTGCAACTTTGGGATCTAGATTTTAATATTTTAAATTCAGTATTGTGTAAATAACTATACTTTCCAATATGGTAATGAGGCTATCTAGACATATTCTGCATCTACTTCCAGTACCCAATATAGTTAGATAGCATTATGAGGCCTAGGGGTTTTTAACAGATGCATCATCATTTTCTATTTATAGTGATTTTTAGCAATTTTAGCTCCTAGTTATTACTGCATTTACTTATACTAGCTATATCTGTATTGGTAGCTCTAAGTCCTCCTAATATTCAAAAACTCTTATACAGGTATAACCAGAGCCTATTATGTTTATTAACATGTACATGTCTCTATGTTTTAACTTCTTATTAACTAGTGAGTTCTGTATGCACCAGTGGTGTTCCAAATCTGATAAGGCCAATTCTTTACCACAGGTTCTTTTGTGATAACTATATTTCTCACTACTTCTAATTCTGATTACTGTACAGTTATTCTCCCAAACAAGATCCCAATGCTGCCTTAGGAGTTGTTGTTACTACCTTGCCAATTACAGATTTATATGTATAACCTTTGTTAATAGAACCTTCTATAATAACCACCATTATATATAATGCCAACTACTTTATAATAAACCTCCTTTTGAAAATTTCTAATCCAGATCTGTATTTACTTGGACTTCCCACAGTAAGTATATCCAAATTTTTATAAGTAATGTACTTACTAGGACTTGAACCTAAAACCACTTATGGAGGATTGGGTGTCTAGACTACTAGCTAGAGATCTCAACCCCAAAATACATTTTTATAAAACCTACATAGCTCTATAAAGTTATATAAATGTAATATAAAATTTCTATATAAATTTACAAACTCAATATAGACTTATATAGTTAAAATTTTTAGATATAACTTAATCTAATATTTATATATAGCTTATTAATTATTTATATAAATATAAAATTTATATAAAATTTATTTATATTTATATAAAATAATTTAATTTACTTTAGCTATTTCTCAAAAATGACTAAGATAATCATTGTTCAGTATACTAAGTAAAAATATTCAACATGTCTGAAATCTTTTATTAAACTCTAATTTAAACTTTAAATCCTAATTTTAACTTTAATATTTAAATTAAAAATTTATATAGATTTATATAAATAACTATATAAATCTGTGTTGGGTTAATAAAGTTTATAAATTTAAATAAAATTCTATATAACTTTATATAAAATTTTATATAAATCTATGTAAAAATGTATTTTGTGATGATATATTAAGTTTAATAAAGTATTTTTAAAAATAAAAAGCTTTTTTTTATTTAAAAAAAAAGTTCAATGATTTTTATTATGTTTGTTTAGCTATTTTACAAAATTCATCAAGATGCTTCATGCCATTTGTTTAATATTCTTTCTCAAGATTAACATAAACACCAAAGCCCTAAATATTTGAATTCTAATAGCTTTAATTAAAGGTAAAATTATCAAAAGGTTGAATTGAATATACACCTCAAATTTATTCTTTTGATTTTTACATTATGCTGATATTCTAGAAACTTAATCCAACCAATAAGATCTCAAAATATCACAAATAAAGCATTAATCAAGAAATTTTTATTAAGATACAAGAAGTAATACTTGTCACTATAATTAGAAAAATTGCAAAGCAATGTGAAGCATCATCTACTTTAAAATTAATTCAAATACAAAATATAGGTGCTTTAAAAATTTTAATAAATTTGGAATTTTGATATTTATTTTATTGAGAATTAAAATTTTAATTTAAAAATACATATTAATTAGAGAATTACTTAGAGTGCTGACATTTATTACATAATATTTTAGGGATGGGTTGAGCATGTATTATATTAATATCTTATATTATACAAAAAATTAATATTTTTAAATTGGCCAATAATATTGGATCTTATGTAGGGAGGGGAGCCCTCACAGTAAATAGATATTATGTAATATATGTCACAGCTCTTGCATTATAATTGCTACATAATTTGATATTTAACAAAAATTTTTATTGCTGTTATTTTGTTTAAAAAAAAATCTACTGATTTTTATCAATTACATGTAGAACTTAATTTAGTCTATACTAAATTATTATGTACTGAGAAATGTTAATTATTTATTTAGTCTTGATCTGTTACTGTTCAGTCTTGCACCAAACAAAATTTAACGTGTTGAATAGTATTCGTTCAACATGTTGAATTTTTAATTTGATGTATTAGTCTTTCTGAAAACTAATCTGTCATTATAAATTAGTTACAATAGTTGTCAAATCAATTTTATTATCATATATCATTATACTGTATAAGAGAAATTTTATTTATATTATAGTTATTTAATTTTGATTAAGTACTAAGCTCAAAAAAGCATAAAATTATTAGTGTACTCAACTCTGCAAGCTACTTAGACTATATTGTAAATGAGATCACCCTCCTTAAGTTATTTTATCTCAGTAAGATGTTATATTATTTGCCATTTCTTATTAAGTCACTTATTTAGATTAATTTAATGGCAATAATACTTATTTTTACTATATAAAATTATTATAATAAACGTTAGTAGACATTTGGTAATACTATACAAATAAGCCCAGCGCAGCGTATGCTGCGCCAGGCTTTCTTTGGCTACGGTATTACCAAACGTCTACTTTGCAAAAACGTATTTTGCATCTTTACATGTTAATAATTTAATAATATAAAAAATTTATATATATATATTTGGTAATTTAAAATTAAAATAATTAATATATGGAGTTGAGTCAATAGAAATCAAGCAAATTTTTTTTAGTAAGTTTTTTTAAAATTTTAAACAAGAATAACTTA